TCTCTCTGTAGATACTTGGTGGAATAATACTTAAGATGAATGATCAGTCATACTTATCATCTATTGTACGTACAGCATCTCATTAGCATAAAAATATAGGCAGTACACAAATAACCACAAAAGAAAACATTGCTGATTCTTCAGAAACACAAGTTTAGGTCGTCCATTGTGGTAGAAGATTTCTTACTAGGCTAATTACGTGTAATTTACATTATAAGTATCTCACCGTCTTTGTTTTCTTCTTTATCTTTTTAAATGTTGCCGCCGTACAACTAGCTGAAATCTGTCGTAACGTAGTACGCGCTTGCTTATATAACCTCCTATCCCCTGTCACATGACACAAATTATCCAATGAAAATATGCCATACGAACTATCAACCAATCAACAGCTTTTACGGGAAGCTGAGTTCCCACACAAGTTCCCACACAGAACTACTTTTGCCACACAAGCTACCGTACAATATCGTAACAAATATAACAATGTAAAATTAACAACTGGAAATAGAATACATAAAATAAACTTGACTTGACGAATAAATTAATACCTTCAATGTTTATAAAGCATCCCTAGGCTGTACAATAGGTACTGAACAATGTAGCGTATGAATATCGTAACTACCATCGAGAGCGTAAACAAATGTAGTTCCGATTAAGCTGACTGATAATAAAGTTAATGCTGACAATAAAGAACTACTTATAGCCTCAAAACGCACAACTCAAATTAAAATGTAGAATCTGATCCAATGTTCTAAACTTGAATCATATATTACAATAGTAAATATGTCACTAAACCGGAAGTGGCGATCCAAGTAAAGTATGATGGCTACCTAAACATGCAATGTAAAATCCACCCTCTTATCCCTGATATTATAAACCCTACGACTTTACATGAAGCAACAACAGGTAAGATATGATGATAATAGCTTTTACTACAATCGTATTAAGATAAGCTAACATATCATTTTCAATAAAATCGTAAACGAACAACTTTTCTGGTAGGCACATGATGAACATAGTATGAGAACTGGACGACCGCACAATATTACGTATAAAATAAAGTGATATATTACAATATATTACAATATTTATTATTGAGGGGAAGGAGGGATTGATGATGAAAACAACGTGAATTTAGTTTTTTGTCAGACATTGAATTTTGATCTTGCCCCTTTAAGACGATAAAATTGAACTGGTATAATTCCTTGTTAACAGACAAGGAATTATCAAAATATGGACGTTAAAGCCTAACAAATGGTATCATATCGACATTATTAATTCTAAATATATAAAATAATGGGATTATTTCTATGCATTTTTTATTGCGACAAATATTACGCAAAAATTATAATAATTTTAACAAAGTCAAGAAAGCTTGAACAGGGCAGTTTAATCAGCCAGAGTATATCATTTTTTCTGATCTCCTTGTACAAGTTGACAAAATTTTGACGTTATATACATTCCATTTGAAGATGACACTAATTCTATTTCGCAATTTTAAGGTATAACACAACAACATGAGGCGGTCATAAGTTTCCGTATATTTGTCTTCGGTCTTTTCAATAAACAATAATAATCAAAGGCGTAACACAAAAAACTAGTATGTTGTTGTTCCATAAAATCTTTATCATGCACACTTCAAACAAACTTGATCGACTCGCTTCTTTATATTTCCTATAAATAATGGTCTATTCTTTACATAGATATATCAATTCTTTAGATCAATTTTTATCTCGTTATAACGAGATAACTAACTCGTTTTAACTAGACATTAACTCGTTATAACGAGATAACTAACTCGTTATAACGTGACAACTAACTCGTTAAAACGAAATAATTAACTCGTTTTAACGAGACAACTAACTCGTTATAACGAGACAACTAACTCGTTATAACGAGATAACTAACTCGTCAAAACGAGATACTAACTCGTTATAACGAGATACTAACTCGATATAACGAGATAACTAACTCGTTAAAACGAGATAACTAGCTCGTTTTAACGAGATAACTAACTCGTTATAACGAGATAGTTATCTCGTTATAACGAGATACCTAACTCGTTATAACGTGATAACTAACTCGTTAAAACGAAATAACTAACTCTTTATATTATAACGAGATAATTAACTCGTTATAACGAGATAACTAACTCGTCATAACGAGATACTAACTCGTCATAACGAGATACTAACTCGTTATAAGGAGATAACTAACTCGTTATAACGAGATAACTAACTCGTTATAACGAGATAACTAACTCGTTTTAACGAGATATTAACTCGTTATAACGAGATATTAACTCGTTATTATGAGATAATTATCTCGTTATAACGAGTTAAATATTTTTTTTTGTCTTGTCAAAAACGAGCCTATCCGGCTTTCGTAATTAAGCAACTGCTCATGATCAATAATAATTATTACTGTATTTACTTCAAATTTACTATATTACATATAACTCCTCTTTTTAATGTTTTTTATTTAATTTAAAACATATTTCAATCGTATTTCTCTTTTAAGTTTTAAAATAAATTTAATATAGAAGTGTAGTATTACTTTGTCTGCAGTTTTAAGTTTCTTCACTCCAGACCATTATGTGCTTTCATAATAAAAAGTTGTCTGGAAAAATTCTGTGCTAAAAATGAAAAAAACGTGTTACTGTCCACGAACTACTTTCATGGTTCTTTTCACTCATTTTAGAGACAGCAGTGCTTCGTTTGGAACTGGAAATTAGCATTTAACAGTGCAAAATTTAGATATTTTCTCACTAAATGGTTGTAGTGAGAACAGTAATGCACACTTTGCAAATTTCTTTTTTTTAAGGCTCTGCTGAAGAGTTTAGATGCGCAGTTCTAGAGAGAATATCAAAAACATTATTCTGCAAAAGTGTAAATTATTTACACAAAACATGCTACACAAAACAGTTATGCATATTTATTTTTTGTTTATTCTAAGGACATGAAATTTGATTCAATTAAAGTATACTTAAGTCATTTCAAGAAACATTTACTTTTTGTTCTCATCAGGTCCAGTCCAAAGACTATTTCTACCTACGTAGCTATAAATAGCTAAATGTACCTAGGTATTTAAACCTACTTGAAGTAGCTACTTCTACCTTCTTTTAACTGTCTTTGAAAATAAAATTAAATAATAATAATTAAGGCACGTCTTTAAAACAGATCAAACTTGTCTTTTAACACCTTGTGCACATGCACGGCAAAATTAAGGGTTTAATTTGAAAACTTTACGAGAGTGAAGAATGGAGAGGAAATGCACGAAAAATCATCCCAAAACATTTTATCTAAGAATGCATGATGAAGATGTTTTCAAATTGATACAGAGATTTGTAAGTCTTTTTAGACTTAGTTTTGAACTTTTGATCCTTAGCTACCAGAAAATGAAATTAATTAGTTACAGTTTTGATGCAAAATTGATAAGTTAGGAAGAAATCATTTTTGGCCAAATGTTTTGTCGTATTCATCGTCAGTGGAACTGTGTTAAGAAATTTGGTACTCATCATATTGCGCCGTTCAAGCTTTTGACCACAAAATACAATCAAAGCAAAAAGTAGGTAAAAAAAAAAGCTACCTGGAGTAGGTTTAAATTTTTAAGTAGCTATAAAGAGCTACGTAGGTGGATTTAGTCTTTGGACTGGACCTGCTCACTGAACCTAAGGAGGCTGGACATCCCCCTAAACAAAGATATTATACTAGTCTTCCAAAATTGATTGAAATTCGTTCAGCAGAGAGGAAGCTGAAATGAACAACGTTACGACGAATGAAAGCATAACAATAGTAACTTCAGTAACTCAGATGACTTAGAACTTCGAAACACAACCAACCAAACTAACTACGTCTATCAATTTACACACCCTCAATTGTTTTGCCTTAACCATGTGCAGCCGCACACTAATTTTATAAGCACATCAACTCCAGTTAAATTGATAGTCTAATACGCATATTTTGTGGTACTAACTAGTAAACTTCAACTCATCAACAACGCAATATTAGACACATTAATTAAACACAAAGGTTAATGAGCTAATAGTACTATCATAATGACATTAATATTTTGCTAATTTAAAGGAGAGTTAGAGAGTCAAACTAACTAGACATAGATAACCTTAGATAAACAAGAAGTCTGTGAGCCAAAGCTCACTAGTAATACCCCAACCCTGATGTGAATATACACTCTGATGTGAATATACACAAGTTCAGCTACGGACATACACAAGGATGAACAGGAAGTTGACATCAGATTCCTATAAAAATGAATTCAACCTTATTGCATGTCTCAACAAAGAGTGTGCCAAAATTTCAACAACTGCAATGAGTAGTTGCTGAGAAAACTGCAACAAAAATTTGTAACATATTGTACAGACAGACTCACACATAAAGAGGAAGTTGACATCAGATTCAAATAAAAATAAATCCAACCATATGAACAAAGAATGTGTATGGTAGGGACAGACGCACAGTAAAACAGGAAGTTGACAGCAGATTTATATAAAAATGAATCCCACCATATGGCATGCCTCAACAAAGAGTGTGCTAAAATTTCAAGCATCTGCAATGATAAGTTGCTGAGAAAACCGACGAAAATTGTTATGTATGAAACGAACAGACGCATGGATAAACAGGAATTTGACATCGGATTCGTACAAAAAATGAATCCCAGCATATGGCATGCCTCAATAAAGAGTGTGTTAAAATTTCAAGCATCTGTGGTAATTGCTGAGAAAACCGTGACGAAAATTTGTTATGTATGGTACGGACGGACGCACGGATTAACAGGAAGTTGAAAACGGATTCATGCAAAAATGAATCCCACCATATGGCATGCCTAAACAAAGAGTGTTCTTAAATTTCAAGCATCTGCGATGAGTAGTTGTTAAGAAAACTGCGACGAAAAATTTGTTATGGACAGACACACACACACAGAGACAGACACACAAGGGTAAAACAGTATGCACCCCTCTCCTTGGCACAAAATTAAATACTCACCAATAGACAGACAGGACAGATTCCAATCCAACACACTTTCCAAAAGATGCCTGGCTGATGACCAAGCATACTTTCGACGTCATTAGAAAATTTTTGACAGCCTATTTGGAAAAAAAATACACATAAAATCCAGTTTTTAATGAGTAGTCATATCAATTTTTAAGATCTGACAATGACTATAATTTTGCATACCATAAAACCAATTGACAGCTATGGCCTCTATGAAACAAATAAAAAGCAAAGAAATTGGAGCAGCATGGTTGTCCAACAAATTAATGACATACTGGCCACCCTGAAAGAAATAAAATAACTATAGTACATGTGTACTACGAAAAGTCAACAATACTTTGGGCTAACTGTAATCCACTTAAATATCCTCTGCAATGCAGTTGATCCAAAGTTGGTGGGTATAAATTTTGGTGTACTTACATCTGTAACAGTTGGCAGTGCTCCTAAAAAGCACAACAATATCAAAGCAAGGACAAACAATTCCCTATGGCGTTTGATGTTTGGATATTCGTCACAAATTCCAGTAATAATGGCCTCCAATCCCCCATACTGAAATTCAGGTGATATTGTTAGTTGTTAAAAACTACCTTATGAAGATGTGACATATTGAAATACTCAAGTATCTAAGTTTAAATCACAGTTAACAAAGTATAAACAAAAAGCAGATTTTTTTGTACTTACAGTGCTGTCTAAACCAAGAGTGATAAGCATAAGAAAGAAGATAACAGACCAAAACACCGATCCAGTCAGAGTTGCAATGACCTCTGGGTAAACCACAAACACAAGACCTGGGCCTGAAAATAAAGGTGGACAGAAAGTTAAAATATAACAAGAGGCCCAAGGGCCTTAACGGTCACCTGAGTATTATACAACATTGTAAAGGATCCATAGAAGTATAAAACTGGAGGTACTGTGAACAGTATTACAAAACAATCCCCCCTCTCTGCTAGAATGTTTTTTTAAATGCCCATTCAAATTTTGTAAATCTGACCTTGAACTTGCCAAAAGGCCTTGGTTTAAGAATGACACATCCTCTGGTCACAAGTAAACTTTTAACATATTACACCCAATGTTTCTCCATTAGAAAATTAAAGACCTGTCATGTATTTTACACTTTTTATACTAGAGACCTTGACTTTGCCACAATGAATTGGGGCCAAGGTTATGACACACACTCACGTCATAAACAACCTTTGTACAAAGTATGAGCTTCCAATGATTTTACAAAGTTACAGCCTAAATAAGAATGTTATGCTTTTTCTGCCAGTGACTTTGAACTTCCCGAAATGACACTTAGTCAAGGCCATTTCACACCCTCAAGTCATAAATATTCGTTGTACCAAGTATGAGCTTCCAATGATTCTTTATTACAAAGTTATAGCCCATACAAGAATACTATACTTTTTCTGTCATTGACCTTGAACTTGCCAAAATGATCTTTCATCGAGGTCAAGACATATTCTGGGGTCATAAACAATCTCTGTAACAAGTATGGGCTTCCAATGATTCTCGATAAACAAGCATTCTGAGAGTATTGCATTAGCAATACTAGTCCCCTACCGGCAAGTGTAATCTGGTTCCCGTTAAGAATTGAAAATGCTATAATTCCGTCAAAAATTAATGAAGCGGGACGAAATGCAAACTTGATCTATAACTAATCAAGGTAAAGCCACATACCAAAAATCAGCTCAATATCTACAAGCGTTTAGAAGAAAATTGCGGAAAACCCGTAAAAATTGAAAATGCCGTAATTCCGTCAAAAATCAATGAAGCGGAACGAAATGCAAACTTATCTGTAACTCATCAAGAAACACTCACATACGAAAAATCAGCTCAATATCTGCAAGCGTTTAGGGAAAAAGTGCGGAAAACCAAGTGGGACAGACTGACAGACAGACAGAGGGACAGACAGACGGACAGACAGACAGACGGACGGACAGACTCAGAGGAAACCTATAGTCCCCTCCGGTTTCACCGGTAGGGGACTAATAAGTTTTAGCCCGGATAAGATTGCATAGACAGATGGACAAGCTAAATCCTATTTACCCAACTAAACTGTACTTGGCCCTATTGGACATTTGCGAAATAGCGTACAGCGGACTTCGGACTTCAGACTTTAAAGCAGACTTTTCAAGGGGACCGATATAAAAAATTGAACTATTAATAAATTTTAATGTTGAGTTTGATTGGTATGGTTAAAAAGTTTGCAGAAAATTTATTTATATGTAGATGTATATAAATTCAAACATTTGAAATTTTTCGAAATATATGAAACTATAACTATATATGCATTGAAGTCAAGTCTAAATTAAATTCTCAGAATAAGAACAATATTTTGCAGTTAATCTGAAAAGCGTCAATTAAGAGATAAAACAAGTCCTGCTACAATCTCGGCAATGATTGAAACAAACGTTAAATTTCACATTCTGTACGTTTTCTAATTTACAAATTGGACGTACAACTTCAGATGATAGAACTTTATCGAACTTTATGCATTTCCCGCATGGTTTGTTGATAATTTGAAAAAAAAAGTCAGTAGCAAAAATCTGGTTTTAATCTCAAGTTGAAAAGTACAAATCATCCAGATCTTGGCCAGTACATTTTATTAGTCCCCTACCGGTGAAACCGGAGGGGACTATAGGTTTCCTCTGAGTCTGTCCGTCCGTCTGTCCGTCCGTCTGTCTGTCTGTCCCTCTGTCTGTCTGTCAGTCTGTCCCACTTGGTTTTCCGCACTTTTTTCCTAAACGCTTGCAGATATTGAGCTGATGTTTGGTATGTGAGTGTATCTTGATGAGTTACAGATCAAGTTTGCATTTCGTTCCGCTTCATTGATTTTTGACGGAATTACGGCCTTTTCAATTTTTACGGGTTTTCCGCAATTTTCTTCTAAACGCTTGTAGATATTGAGCTGATTTTTGGTATGTGGCTTTACCTTGATTAGTTATAGATCAAGTTTGCATTTCGTCCCGCTTCATTAATTTTTGACGGAATTATGGCATTTTCAATTCTTAACGGGAACAGAACCAGATTACACTTGCCGGTAGGGGACTAGTATTGCTCATGCAATACTCTCAGAATGCTTGTTCATTTATTCATTTATTTGCAAAAAAAAAAAAAAAAAAAAAAAAAAAAAAAAAAATTTGCAGTCGCCCGCGTGGCGCAGTGGTTAGAGCGTTTGCTCTAGAGTCACGGAGTAAGGAGTTGATCCTTACGTCGCGGGTTCGAATCCCACTGTGGGACGTGGAGACCGGTCCTTCGGATGAGACCTATAAACCGAGGTCCCGTGTCGCAGTAGGTGCTGGCACGAAAAAGAACCCTCACTGCTCAATGGTCGTAAGTGCCGAGTATAGGACAAAAATTTGCAGCTCTCCACCGGCAAATGGTGGCGTCTCCATATGAGTGAAAAATTCTCGAGAGGGACGTTAAACAACAAACAATCAATCATTTATTTGCCATCGAATATACTCTTGCGCATCATTTAGCCAGGAAAAACGCAATCTATATGATGTATTCTTCTACGCTTATGAAGCGTATTAGTGCCACGTAATATTTTTTTCAAGCTGGAAATTCCAACTTTAAAGTTGGCTTTTCCAGCTTTAAAGGTGGTAGTTCCAACTTTAATCTTGGCTTTTCCAACTTTAAAGTTGGAACTTTAAAAATTCCAACTTTAGATTTGGAAATTCCAACTTTAAAGTTGGCTTTTCCAACTTTAAAGTTGGTAATTCCAACCTTAATCTTGGCTTTTCCAACTTTTAATTTATGCTTTTCCAGCCCAACTTTAAAAAAAAATCTTACGTGGCACTAATACGCTTCCGTAATTCTTTCTTAATTATCAGTTATTATTTCAGCATGTATGGCATGGTAGATTCGATGTCTCTAATAAAATAACCGTTGAGGTTCAATGAGGAATATCTGTTACATACTGAGGACGTTCCATCAATTGCGGTTACTGCACGTTTTGGGCCCTAGCTGCATCATGCCTCTCCATTTTCTTTACTTTGCTAATTTTATTTACTTGTTTATAAGATTATGAACTGCGTGGAATGAATTTGTCAAAACTTTCTGTAGAAGCACTGATACGAAAATGTCTTATTTCATATAAACACGATGGATAATTTCGAAACCAAATTTAATGAAAATCAATAAATTTTTAAAGCTTTTTCTCGGAGACAAAAATATGCCTTGTTACGATTTTGGCTCATTTTTCTACATACTTAATGAAAAAGAATGTTGTAAATACCAAAATTTTCTCAAGAAATTTCATAAAATCTGTGCATGTAATGTTTTCATCACCGTAGCATCGATTGTAAAAGTGTGCGTCTGTGTGTGTGTGTGTGTGGGGGGGGGGGGGTAACTTAAATCTTTGACAACAGAGAATTGTCTAAACTAGAAAATCCCATCTCGGGAGGGGGGGGGGGGTGTTAGGATCCAACGGTACTAAAAAAGTTTTGATACATCTGCACAGGAGGATTTCACCTTATATGTACTGGCTTTAAAATGATCATTTTTATATATAATAAATAGTAAAAAAAAATTATCTTTGGATACTCTGTATAAAAAGGGCCGCTCACATCTACATGTACTAACAAAAAAATCACTATATTTCTAGATAATATGAGATCAGGAATCTGCATCCATGTTTCCTACAAAGTCAAACATATATCTCTATTCAGTTCAAATTCTATATACATTAGCATGGCCTTACGAACCGGAAGGGGGGGGGCATGGGGGGGGGGAAATGCCAAATCTCACTGACAAAACTAATACAAAATACTGAGAGACAACAATGTGGGTAAACAGGTCTGAAATTAGATTAATAAACAAGAAGTTTAACTACTAGAAACTCAAATTCTTACACTGTGCGTGTAAATAAGTGGGGCATACAATGCTTTTCTAAGCAAAAAAGTTCCGTACTATTTTAGGCTTTCGGTGTGACTTCTTTGACTGAAACATAAAAGTAAACTTAATGTTCCGCATTTATTCCTATTTATAGATGTCACAGAAGTCTATAACCATGATTTGAAACTACCATTGAAGAAATAAAAAGGTGATTAATAATTTATACATTTTGAAATGTTCCCCTTATTTAAAGTCCGAAGTCTGAAGTCTGTAGTTCATTGTCAGCTATTCCGCAAATGTCCATTTGTCACTATATCACCATTCTGGCTGAGCAAATCAATAGTGTTTAAGCACTATTAGAAACCCAATCTCATCCCCTCTCACACTTGCATTCCCTCACTTGTTTCTAAAGAACATTTGATGTACACAGATATGGCATTCTTGTCTATGAATGATCCAGTCGCCCGCGTGGCGCAGTGGTTAGAGCGTTTGCTCTAGAGTCGCGGAGTAAGGACTTGATCCTTACGTCGCGGGTTCGAATCCCACTGTGGGACGTGGAGACCGGTCCTTCGGATGAGACCGTATAAACCGAGGTACCGTGTCGCAGTAGGTCCCGGTACGAAAAAGATCCCTCACTGCTCAATGGCCCTGAGTGCCGAGTATAGGTCAAAATTTGTAGCTCTCCACCGGCAAGTGGTGGCGTCTCCATATGAGTGAAAAATTCTCGAGAGGGACGTTAAACAATAAACAAACAAACAAATTTATGATCCAATATTTACAACTCTATCCGACCATTAAAAACTATGAAAGTACTTTTTGTGTTACATGTATAAATGATCAAAATCCTTTACAATTATCTTATTCAATTGAGCTTTGAATTACATCATTTACAGTGGTTAATTATCACAGGTGAATAGCAAAGGGGAATAACTTCTCTCAGTAGACTAAAAATTTACAGAGCCTCACCCTAGCACCAGAGACCCTAGACCCAGGGGCCGAGAAATTCACAATTTTGGAAGAGGCACCCTTGCTCATTAGAAGCATACATAAAGTATGTTTGCTAAATACCCACGGACAGAAAGGAAGCTTTTCAAAGAAATAATGCATTTTCACGATATATTCAACAGAGCCTCACCCTAACACCAAAACCCCTGATCCAAGGCAATGAATTTTTTAATTTTTGAAAAAAAACTTCCTTAAGCTTGCTCACCATAACTATGCAATTTATTTGTCTGTTAAATACAAAGGGGTAGAGAAGAAGATATTTAGAAAAGAGCGCATTTGATACTACTAAGGCATTTTCGCCTATTCTAGTAGAGATTTCTTAAATACATTGTTAAATAAAAAGTTTGTCATACAAATTAGTTTATACATACGTAAATCGAAATCGCACAATAATGATATTTAAATGCTTATAGTTACCTCATATGACAATTATGAAAATCATCCAGTTTGTATTGAGTATATAGTACATATTGAAGTATTCGCCTAGCGATGACAAAGACCACCCTTAACCAGCAAAACTTTTGAATAATTTTATTTAGATATGACTGCACTTCATTACATTTAGATAATTTTGGTTAAAGGTGATCTTCATATTAAAAATGATGAAAATATGTATTTAGATTTTCTTCTCATATTATCTACAGATTAAGCAATCTGTCTTAAATTTATCCATTTGACATCAATAACTTCGTGGCGCGGTAGAATGTAAAGTTGTGATTCCGAGTTCGAGCCCAACATTTTTCTTTTGTGCCTTTTTAATTTTTTTCTTTCTGTATCTTTTCTACGTTTTTCTTTCTTATGTATCATAATATACAAAATTTCAGAAAGATATAATTACACATTACACTTTTAAAGTATCTCGGGAATACACAGTCCTACACTATTTTATTAAATTTTGCATATTCATAGCTACTTGTTTTATTTTTTATTGATTTTGTAAATCTTTTGCCTCAGAATTAGAATATTTATTGAACAAGTAAAATGACTGTTATTTGACATACTTGCAACTAAGAAAATATAACACTCGTCCAAAAATGATATAACACAGGTCGATCTTGAATTGAAAAGGTATATCGATAAATAGAAACAGATGATTTCCTTTTAAATTCTTGAGTCGGCCGTGTCGTCGGTTAGGTAGCTATGGCTCATTATGCATATTCTTTTTTATTATTATTATTATTCACACAACATACATAACAATATATACATACATCAAGTTTCAGAAGCAGAAGTGTGATTTTATGTGAGAGAGAGAGAGAGAGAGAGAGAATTAAGAGAATAGTAGGTTCCACCTGTTCCACTGGGTATCAAACTTTTCCTTTCCCCCATTCTTATAAGAAATAAATTTTTGTGTTTCATAATGAAATTTCATTTTTGATATTGCAGTATGTACATTAATAGGTTTCTGGGTGCATCTTTCAGTATAAATATAATATTTAAGCCAAAGAAGAATAGCATTTTGAACATCAGTGTTTTCATCAATAAACCCTAAAATAAAAGATTTCTTAGTAACTCTAATCTTTAGACCAGTCTTATCTTCAAGTAATTATGCGTATTCAATATTTGATCTATAGAGCCCTGCCATACCTCCAGAACCCCTGACCCAGGGGGCCATGAAATTCCTAATTTTAGAAGAGGCACTCTTGCTCATCATAACCATGTTAATAGTTTATCTTCTAAATACCCAGGAGCAGAGAAGATTTTCAAAAATTTAATACATTTCATTATATATTCAACAGAGCCCTGCCCTAGAACTAGAACTCCTGAACAAGGGGCCATGAAATTCACAATTTTGGAAGAGGCAACCTTACTCAAAATAACTATGCATTTACGTTGTTTGCTCAATATCCAGGAGCAGAGGAGTAAAGATTTTCAAAGAAATATTGCACTTTCACTATATAATCAAAAGAGCTCCCCCCCTAACATCAGAACCCCTGACCCTGGAGCCACAAATCTTCACAATTTTTGAAGAAGCACCCTTGCTTACCACAACTATGCACTTAGTTTATTTTCTAAATACAAAGGAGCAGAGAAGAAGATTTTCAAAGACTTAATGCATTTTCACTATATAATCAATCGAAAAAAATAGAGCCTCGCCCTGACACCAGAATCCTTTACCAAGGGGCCATGAAATTCAACAGAGCCCCCGCCCTCCCCCTTCAACACCAGAACCCTTGACCCTGGGACAACACATTTCACATTTGGGTGAGGCACCCTTGCTCATCATAACCATGCATTTAGTTTATTTGCTAAATATACAGGGGGAGAGAAGATTTTTAAAGAATGTGTTCATTTTCACTGTCTGATCATTAGAGCAGCCCCCCCCCCCCAAAAAAAAAACTCCAAAACCCCTTACCCTGGGGCTTTGAATTTCACAATTTTGTAGGGGACTCCACGCTCATAACAATCATGCCAACAGTTGACTGCTTGATATCCAGGAGAAAAGAAGATTTTTAAAGATAGCACTAATTTAGGTTGTTTTAGCCCCACTCCTCAGGCCCCTGGGGCAGGGATCATGAAATTAAAATTTTTTGTTCCCCTTCACCCATTGACTGTATATGCCAAAATTGGTTGAAATTGGTTCACCAGTTCCAAAAAAAAAGCTGAAAATGTTCAAATGTTAACGCACGATGAACGACAACGGACAAAACCAAATAGAAAAAGATTACCTGAGTGGCTCAGGTGACCTTAAAATGAATATAAATTACTCAGATATCAATAATGGAAACAACTTTGAAAAGGGACAGCTAAAAGGCCAAGCATCCCCTCACAACATTCACAGAAGACAGTTTCTTATATAGTGTTAACAACATGATAAACACCAATCATTGTCCTTGATCTGTAATCTTTTGGCATTTGAATTTTTTTTTCCTGTGCATCATGCATCTTGTACAAAATACGGGATTTCAAAAGTCAAGTGAACTATTTAAATTATGTTCATTAGGTGATAAACATCCATTACAGATTATTAACTTGACCTTTACTGGCTTTAAACCCTCATAACCCTGCTTCTTTTGGCATCTATCATCTCTACAGCAAGTTTGATGGTGAAAAGTCAAATGATACACTACATGCCATGACCACTACATTGATGCCATGTAACACTACATGTATGATCCTCTGACGCTAAAATGTCTGGTAATTTACCACCTATGTAGCTAGTTCGAGTTGACTGATCAAATATTTTCACATTCTGTCTGCAACATTGGAAAGGGCTCACAGTGACCTTCAAATAAATAGGCTTGTTCCCCTGGTCAAAGATTAAATAAATCAGTATTATAAATATTGGAAGGGACGGTCAGAGCCACATATATGCGAGTTACCACATTCCCTAGCAGCTTTGTTGCAAGGATATAAATACAAAACTGTGTACATTCTACTCACCACTGGTTGGAAGATTCTCAATAGAAACACCCTGAGCTTGTGCCATATAACCCAGAACAGCAAAAACAACGAACCCGGCCAGAAAACTCGTCATGCAGTTAATTATACTCACTGTTATGGCGTCACTGTTAATAGAAAGCAATGTAATTGAACTAATACAGTAAACGCAATACAAAATGCTTTAAAAAGTTATTTTCAAAACTTTTTTTATAAAAGAGGATTGTGGTGCAGTAGAGTAAAGGGAAACAAGAGGCCCAATGGCCTTAACGGTCATCTGAGTATAATTTAACACTGTAAAGGATCCATAGAAGTACAAAACAAAATTAAGGTCAGACGACACGTTCCTAGAAAATATATAATTTTTCCCATAAATTTGTCATTGAAGTTTAACTTCCTAAACAAATTTCAGCACCAAAAATTGAGGTACCTTACCAGGGATTTGGACAAGATACCAGAGGGTGATATTTCTTATATAATCCTTATGGGTAATCTTTTGAATTGCCGATGTCACAATTTTTGGTAAACTTATTTTTTAAACATATTGAAAACAATTTATAAATCAAAAGAGAATGACAATTATGATTAATTGAGGAACGTTCGTCTGATCTTAACTGAAAGATTATGCTATGTTGCCCAAGAATTTCAAAAATCTGGTAAAATGCCCTTGCTTATTGTAACGTACGAGACCCGCATGATCCCCTTGGGATTCTACTTGGTTTTCCCAAGTTTTACGTGGATGATAATGAATGCAAAATATACAAATACATGTAAAATGAACACTTGCCTAATGTTTAAGGTATTCAGTTTATACAGATATGTTTTTGTCACTTGCCTAGTGCCACAATTAAGTACACAAAGAAAAATCTTTAATGCTTGTATATTTACTTGAGGTTTTGCCTCTAGGCTACAAAAACAGCTTCGCTGCTTGCCATCTGGTAACATTTGATACCAACACTTGCCTCTTGGCTACACAAAAAAACTTGGTAATACTTGTAACCAGCACTCTCCACTTGGTTTAGTATACAACATGGCTATTTGCCACTTATCAGTAAATAAATGTCCCCTAGTCACCCTGGCTCTCTGTTCACTTGTTCACTTTGATAAAGTATAAAACAACTTTTTGCAGTCTCTTACCAACTAAACTCTGATGACTTTACCTGACAATAAGACGTCAATTATCCAACAGAACACTACATTATACATATACTAAGTACAACTGGCCCTTTTGCTAAATAAATAATCTTTTTTCAATCTTAAATACTGCTTTCCAGGCAAGAATCCGAATTTGAGCATGCTTTGTTCGTTTAAACCAAACATTAATTTTTATTTTGTTTCTATATATATATATATATATATATATATATATATATATATATATATATATATATATATATATATATATATATATATATCACATTCTTTCTTGTATTCTCATTCCATCAAATAACCTGTTAATGAAATTATATACAAGAATTTCTTGATTTAACACAATTTCGCAGAGAGTGGAGTAACTCTCATTTACTTCACTTATTGAAATTTTGTACTCTGTTTGCCTCCTAGATACAATAGAGAAAAGGTACATTTACTTACATTTATATTTATACATTTACATCTATGTCATTGCATTTAGTCTGTTTGCTCAATACTCAGGAGCAGAGGAGAAGCTTTTCAAAGTATTAATGCATTTTTGCTATATAATCAATAAAGCCTCGCCCAAATACCAGAACCAGAACCCCTGACCCAGGGGCCAAGAAATTTACAATTATGGAAGAGATACGCTTCTACATCATAACTATGCAACAAGTTTGCTTAATACTAAGGGGCAGAACAGAAGATTTTTCAAAGCATTAATTCATTTTCAGTAAACCAATAAATACCCCCCCCCCATGGAACCTCTAATCCAGGCCACATATTTCACAATTTTGGAAGAGGCTCCCTTCCTTATCATAACTATGTACTTAGTTCATCGACTTAATACCCAGAAGCAAAGGAGAAGATTCTCAAAAAATCATTGCATTTCAGTATATAATCATTAGAGCCCCGCCCTAACACCAGAACCCCCGACCCAGGGCCATGAAATTGACAATTTTGGAAGAGGCACCCTTCTTCATCATTACTATGTACTTAGTTCATCAGCAAAATACCCAGGAGCAGAGGAGAAGATTTTTTAAAGAAATAATGCATTTTCACTATATAATCATTAGAGTCCCGCCCTTACACCAGAACCCCTGACCGAGGGGCCATGAAATTGAAAATTTTTGAAGAGGCACTCTTGCTCATCATAACTATATACTAACATGTAGTTCATCAGCTTAATAACCAGGAGCAGAGGAGGAGATTTTTAAAGAAATAATGCATTTTCATTACACCTGTATATATTCAACAGAGTCCCGCTTTAGCATGATCCCCTGACCCTGGGGCCATGCATTTCAACATTTTGGTAGAGGGCGCCTTGCTTATTTCATCATGCCAACAGTTTGACTGCTTCAGCTTGATGTCTAAGAGTAAAGAAGATATTTAAAGATTGCATTAATTTTGGTGGTTTTAGCCCCACCCCTCATGCCCCAGTGGGACAGGGACCATGAAATTCACAATTTTTGTTCCCCTTACCTATAGATGCTATATGCCAAAATTGATTGAAATTGGTTAAGCGGTTTCAGAGAAGAAGCTGAAAATGTTCAAATGTTAACGCACATCGCACGACGACGGACGAAAACAGATAACAATAGGTCGTCTGAGTGACTCAGGTGACCTAATAAACTTTAATAAATCATCAACGATAATTGCAAAAACAAACCTTTCAAAAAGGTTAAATTATGTAGTTTTCCACTTACAAATAACAGTTATTGTGGAAGTTATTGTAGCTGGACAAGGCTAGAAGCGTACCAAACCCCGGTCCTAGAGAGAAAAAGATCTGGGAAGCGGCATCGATCCACACCTTGAACAGAATAAGCAAAACCTGATTAATAAAAAAGTTACTTTGGTGGATGGACAAATCCATGAAATTTAATACCTGTGTCATATTCAAATATCCCCTCGCAACAAATTAAGTTGGAGGGGATATAGTAAGGGGTTTTTGAGTGTGTGGGTTAGTGGGTACGTGCATAACGGAAGTAATAATCCGATAATAATTCGATGCTATTTGCTGCCTTGCTGAACTGAATATTTTTTGTTATTCTAACTTGTTTTTCGAACTTGCAATTCAAGAAATTGAAATGAAACGTAAGATTCAGCATGTTATGAGTATTGTTCTTTAATTTTCTGATGAATATTGAGTTGTGTGGAATAAGGTTTGGAATTATTCTTTCCTCGATTCGAAATAAACTGTTTGTTGGAAGTATCAGCGGTAAATATATCATTAAGTTTAGAAGTTTTAGATGTTTGTGAAATGTTTTGTTTAAGAGAAATCAATCAAATAAAGTATCTGCTGTGACCTTAATCTAGAAACTATGTGCAAGGTCACTGCGCCTCATAGGCCCAATGGGAGAGAAAATATGATGGAGACATGTAATTTACAAAGTTTTTTTTAAAGTTTAAGACAAACCGGGCATCGGCATTCAATTCCAAAATAAAACAAAATTATTGTGTAACAGCTGTTCGACTGTATGATGCAAAAGATTTGGTTCATAAGGGGACGACCATTTCTGAAAGGGGGGGGGGCAGATTTTGGAAATAATCTCTTCGAAAATGTTGGGAAATAATCCGTCCTCGACTGGCAACAAAATAAATACTCTGCCCTTGCCTGATGCTATCCCCCAATATAAGTTCAGAGTTTGGCAATTTTTTCCCTCCTCTTTTTTTTTAATAAAATTTTTTGTTTGCTACATTTTTTTCATTGAAGAAGAAAATAAATAATATGTCCTTGATCATCTTGGAAATACATAATCTGTCCTTCACCGACATGAAAATAAATAATCTGTCTCGGAAAAATTTGCCTGCCAGGCCCTCCCCCCTTCAAAATCAAATGGTCGTCCCCTAATTTGTTAATTTTTATATTCATTCGTTCTCTGACAGTTCCTTATCTTTCACTTTACAACTCTGCTGAACTGAACATATTTCGTTATGTCTGAGTCACCTGTTCGTGCAGAAGTTTGTTCCAGACAGGTGTGATATAATACTTGATTCCCTCCACGGAACCGGGCAACATACAACCCCGAACCAGAAGAATTATAAGTACAATGTAGGGCACTGTAGCTGTCACCCATACTGCCTGAAATTTATTCAGAATAAAATAATTTAATAAAGATATTTTTGATTTTAAATATAGTTTAACTGATAAATATGTATAAAGTCTATAAACGGTGCAGAAAAGATTCTCAGTCGATATTCCAAGGGAGATTGTCTCTCTTTTAATTAATTACCTTTCCTGATGACTTGATTCCTTTCCAAAGACTGAAATACACAATTAAAAACACAGCGGCCAGAGATAGCACCAATTGCCACCGGAGATCTCCTAAATCCTCTATTCCGTACGAATGCTGTACCTTTAATACTTCATTGCTAAAATTGCATTCAAATATTTGATATAAAAACTGTAAACTTCTGTATAATGTGTCTCCACCACCACAACGTTTTGAATGTCGTCGTTGCACAAAAGCACCTGACCGTGCGGACAAAATACTTAATAGTATGATAATTTTTTGGCAAGGTCAGATGCTTTTTACGATCAACAACAGAACTTGTATGCATAATAGACGCAAAAGCCGAGTTTCAGCTGTTTCACAGGAGGAAAGTTAGCGCAAGAATATTGTGAAGAAAAAAAAGGAATTAAAACATACTAGAAAATTACACAGTTAAAGAGGTCGCCCGCGTGGCGCAGTGGTTAGAGCGTTTGCTCTAGAGTCGTGGTGTAAGAAGTTGATCCTTTAAGTCGCGAGTTCGAATCCCACAGCGAGACGTGGAGACCGGTTCTTCGGATGAGACCGTATAAATCGAGGTCCCGTGTCGCAGTAGGTGCTGCCACGAAAGGGATCCCTCACTGCTCAATGGCCCTGTGTGCCGAGCATAGGTCTAAATTTACAACCCTCCACCGGCAAGTGGCCGCTTCTCCATATGAGTGAAAAATTCTCGAGAGGGACGTTAAACAACAAATAAACACAGTCACAGAGAGACTCATTTATGGCTGTCATAGGAAAGGGACAATTGTACTTCTTATTTTAATGATTAGAACACAATATACCACATAGGGAGGTGACATGGAATAAGGAGGCCCAAGGACCTTCACGGTCACCTGAGAATAACACTGTAAAGGATCCAAAGCAGCATACCATAGAATAAAAAGACTTGTTTGTGAAGCACTAGCGAAGGCTTAAGTCAAACTCCAAGGTCCAGAGATTAAAAAAAATGTTGGTACTCAAAGAAAGGTTTTGTCGCAAAGAATACACCTGTGAAATATGAAAGCACTAGCACCAACTGTTCAAAAGTTATGGTTAAAGCCAAGGTTAAAATTTTAAAATAGTAGGTCCATGGTTAAAGTTTTACTGTAGTAGATCAAACTCCAAGGTCAAAAAAAGGGAAGCTCCTGTCACAAGGAATACATATGTGAAATATGATAGACCTAGTCTTAGCCGTTCCAAAATTATAGCCAAGGTTAAAATTTGTCAAAATTTTGCAAAAGTGGGTCAAACTCCGATGTTAAGAGGTCAAATAAGTTGGTACGCAAAGAAAGACCTGTCACAAGGAATACACGTGAAATATGGAAGTCATAGCTCCAATAAATCAAATATTGAAATCAGGAAATAAATACCATCAATAAACAAATAAATCAAAAGCTATGAGCAATTTTAAAGTTTTTGCAGACAAACAGATAAGTAGACAAACAGACAGAAAGACGGACCGAGCAAAAACTAAATGCCCCCGAATCGTCGATTACGGGGGCATAAAAATAAACTGATAGTTGAAGATATGTTGCCCAAAAGCAAGAGAAAAGGGATGATCAGTGATCAACAAAATAGTAAGTCTAGTAATCAGCAGCAAATCATAATATTGCGGGTGTGACCGGTCGGTAGGGGATGCTCACTCCTCCATGGCACCTGATCCCATCTCTCATGTTTTAGAGGTCCGTGTTTGCTCTGCTCCTGATTTATATTGTTTGAATGGACTTTGAATTTAAATGCTGTTTTTGTTATCTCCATATTTCATTTCAGTGGTAATACACTCTCATTAGTCACCATCAACAAGCAGACTAAACAAAACAATAGTGTTTGAACTCATGGTAAACCGTATTACATTTCCTCTCACACTGGGCTCTCTTGGTCTTCGAAGAGCATTTAATTTACAAAGATAAGGTATTTTTGTCTCATTTTTATTTATCTATTATTTACAAGTCTATTTGACCACTGTATATATATCATGTATTCAGTACATGTCCTGGTACATGTATGTAAAGGGAATAAAATATGTATATGATTTTTTAGATGAGAACAGTAACTTCTTATCATTAGACAGCATTCAATAAAATTTTGATATTCAAATCAACCATTTAACTTATACAGGCATAGTACAAGCGATACTGGCAGATTTAAAACTGTATAACGTTTGTAAAAATGAATTTATTCATAAACCAGAAATTCCATGCAATATCAAAGTCTTCGTGTTGACCAAAAAGTGATCAAAGTCTATGTATGATTTGCTAAATAAATCAGTAATAAAACCTGATGGTATGGGAAAATGGGCAAATTTCTTCAACTTGACAGATACACACTGGAAAGCAATTTATTATCTACTTTTTTTTACAACCCAAAACAGTAAATTACAATGGCTTCAATATAGAATCAATCATTATAGAATAACCACCAATAGTCTTATGATTAAAAAAGGTAAAGTTGATTCTAATCTATGTACATTTTGTGAAGCAGAGGAAGAAACAATGTATCATTTAATTTGGCAATGTCCAGCTGTACAGCAATTTCTAGTTGATTTTGTTAGATTCACCATAAGAATATATTGTTTGATTTTCAATTTTGAATTGTTGTTATACCATAACGGCTGGCAGGCATATTCCTGCCAATTTCTTATCTCTTTTTCTCTTGAATTTCCTTTAAAGCTTTCAAAACATCTCTCCAAAATTTATTTTGCACATTCTCACGTGAATGTGACACATAATCTGATCCTGTATTTAAAAGTTTATCCATGTCAACACTATTTTCCCATTAAATCTTCCACTTTGAGTTATTGTTGTAAATTATTCTTCTTATCCATATAGATTTTAAAGGTGTTATATAAGTAGCAATGTCAACCATATTAAATCCTCCCTGTTCATACTCCTGAGTCACAACTTTTCTTTGTATTCTGTCTACATTTGATTTCCATAAAAAATTAAAAATCAATTTATTTAATAATAATAATAATAATAACAACAACAAGAAATGAAAGAGTAATGATTTTTTAAAGAAATCAAAGGATATCTGCCAAAGATCAAAGAGTACGGTCATACGCAAGTATCCTTGACAATGATTTTGACATGTCCTGTCAAAACAAAAAGCTAACATACCAGAGCTCATATTTTCTTTATTAGTATATTTACAGTAAAAACAAATATACTGTTGAAAAGGTCTTGTAAAGATCTATTTGACGATGTAAAAAGTTTAAAAATCGGTCAAGAAATAAAAGAGTGATGATTTTTTTTAAAGAAAAGTTCTTAGAGTACAGCTGCACTCAAGTGTCCTAACACGTACACCTGAGCTTATATCTTGTTTATTAATGTACTCACATGCAAAACAAATACATTTTTGAAAAGTTCTTGCCAATATATATTTGACAATATAAAAAATTTTAAAATCGGATATATTTTTTTGAGAAAAATTTAACTTTAAAATTGTAAAAATTTAAGCATCTTCTTAAAATTTCATAAGTCGGGTGCACATGTAAAGGTCACATTCTATCATTCCTGAAAATTTCAAATTTCGTTTTGCTCAGTTTTTTTATTCGCAGTAGGACAGACCAGAATTGCAGCAAAACGTCATAAATACGTCATATTTTGCGACCGGAAGTGAAATCATTAAAAATGAAAAAAAACTTCCCGAGAAAACATCATTTGCTATCATCTCTGAAAGTTTCATAAAAATCCACTGAACCGTTACTGAGATACCGATGTAGAAAAAAAAATAAGAAGAAGCTGAAGAGGAAAGACCCTAATAATAATACTTTATTTAGAGAAGGTAGCCTGATTAGTGTGACACACTATTCTTCCTTAGGGCCTTCTAATTATAACAAATATTACATCAAAGTAGCAAAGATTAAGAACTAGAAATTGAATTATAATACATGTACAATGTCACATGATGATGATGATAATAATAATCAACAAATATATTATCATGACATATAAAGTAATCTAATGTCACATGTGTAATATTTGACACCACATACATGTTCAAAAGATATAAATCAGAGTAATGAAATTCTATTGATGAAGATATATTTTTCTACATTTCGTTTAAAGACTGACAGAGTTGGTGCACATCTAATATCTGAAGGCAAACTGTTCCAAATATATACACCAGAAATATTCTGGAGGGAATTTTTAAACAAATTTGTTCGGTGTTTTGGCAGGCGAAGGTCAAAAAATTAGATTCTGAACGTAAAGTGTAAGCATTAGAAGTATGAGCAAGATGTGTTTGTGAAACACTGATGCCCCCGTATGGCAACTTATAGCAAAGGTTTAACTTTTTCAAATACAAATCAAATATCACTTATACTTCAAAATCAGTTCTACTTTTTTAAGTAATATGATTTGAAATATATACAACAAAACCCCCACCCGATTTAAAACATCTATCCTTTCTCTCAAAAGTAAATCCACTAATATCTAAACCTGAATTAATCATTTAAGAATGTTTCACAGAGTCCTAAAATATCGAGAGAATATTTGTCCTGAAGCAACAATTTGATTTCGTCAATTTTGGGTATTAGATGACATACATTTAAATTTCCACAACTTAAACCTCTTTTAACTAGTCCAAATCTAGTAACATTACTTTGTGAGCATGACTTTTTGGGTAAATTTTCATTCTGAATTAAATTATTTTGAGGACTTATCTGTGTAACATTCGTAGTAAGGCTAGTTTTTAGTACCCAATCATGAACACTAATATCTGACATGTTTTTCTTTTGAGCACTTGAACACATATTGAGCATTTTTGGGCTGTATACATACGAGGGGTGATCAAAAAGTTCGCGAACTATCTCTATATTTACAAAACCACAATTCAGATCAGAATGAAATTTGGCACACATATAGTCATACACATATGTTAAATAATGTTTTGCTCCGTGTTTGTGACGTCACAATGTGAAAATGACGTCAATATGTAGGTCACTTGTGACAAAAAATGGTTGACTCAGTCGTACTCGAGCAACGAACGGCTGTAAAGTTTAACATATATCTTGGAAATTCCTTTGCAGTAGAATATGATAATTTGTACAAGGTTTATGAAGACAAAAGACTTACCAGAAGTTCAATCATTAATTGGATTGATTGTTTAAGTAAAGACAGGAAG